AACAATAACAGATAAATAAAGGAAAGAGCATAGGGCCGTGATAGCGGCGATGGTATCGTAGCGGCGCTGGACTCGGAGTTGGGCCGGAGTCGGGCACGGGGATGATAGCGGCCCTGTAGGGGCCAAGTGGGTGGGGTAGAGGAGTTGCGCTGGGCACGGTGCCGGAGGTGGACTCAGGGTGGGGAGGTTGGTGCAGCAGTGGGGGAGTCGGCCAAGTGTAGGGGAGCCTAGGGGCAAGCAGGGAAGTGAGCAGGGAGTCCTCAGGGAGGATAGGGCTGAGGTCAGGGCTCACGCTTGCGCTCGCATAGCGGGAATGGGCTCGGGCGGCATCGGGACGGGCGGCTAACAGGCCGGAATGCACGGCCGTGACAGACTACCCGGGAGTAAATGACTTCGCCCAAAAAGCAAAGGAAAACCTCATGGCAGCACACGACCCAATAATACACAATCGCGCTGCTCAAACAATCCAGGCAAATAAGAAAAGACACCCGGACCCGCCTTTGAGAAAAGGCGAGCTTGCATACTTATCCACAGATAAGCTGAACCTACCCAAAGGAAGGGCAGGAAAACTAAAGCCCTTATACATAGGGCCTTACGAAATTCTGGAAACATTTCCAGAGACATCAAACTACATCCTCAAGTTGCCACCACAACTTGAACAACGCGGAATCCACCCAAGATTCCACGTATCCCGGCTTGTACCTCACGAGCTGAATGACCAAGAAATCTTCCCAAATAGGGAAGCGAAGCAGTAGTTTGCGAAATCTTAAACCATGCGTGGGTTCACAACGAACTCTGGTTTAAGGTCAAATGGGAACTAGGGGACACCACATGGGAACCCCTAGGAAATTGCAATGACCTTGTCCACCTGGACGAGTACCTCACTTTACAAAATGTAAGGGAACCAGAAAAACTCCCTATCAAAGAAGACAGGGAACTCTCGGCATCACCACGCCCCCAAAAACGGAGGCAGAGGAAGTAAAGCCAAGGGACGATGGCCCACAGCCAAGAGCGTGGGAAAGTTCTGGGCAAGTAACTCGCCCGGACAGCCACACCATGTACTAGAGATCACATGGGCCAGGCAAGTAACTCGCCTAGACCACGTGAACCACAGGCTCACGTGCAAAAGAACACACAACTGCGGCGAATCCCATGCACGCAAGAACGAAAACCCCTCCCACCACCACGAGAAACATAACGACAAAATGTCGTTCTCTGGGGGAGGCAACCCTTGGTTCGATCCAAACAAGCCACCGGACATCGAAATACGACAACCTGGGGAGCAGAACAACAACAACACCAGGTGCAGATAAGTGCCATGGACTACATGATGCATGCAGCACAAATGAGTGCCACGAACCAACAACCATCTGCGTTGCTAACGGGCACCGCATACCCCCAGCCTCCTCAGAGGGGCTTCCAACCATATGTGGTGCAAACTGCACCGATGGCGCAACAAGCGCCATTCCAGGGGCAGCATTTGCTGCTGCAGCCCCAGGCATACTCCCCAGGGAACTTCCCTGGCCAGATCAACCCCTGGATTGGCCAATTCGGCCCAGGTCCAACAACACCCCAGCCAAATGCAGGCTGGGAATCAGCCATCGCGTCAGCGGTAGCTGCTCAGACAGGTCAGCTCCGTGAGGAGCTGAAAGAGATGAAGTCCCTCATAGGAGGGAGACGAGGGAGCGACAGTGGCTCCTCGTCCAGACTGTCCAAACGGGCACGGTCTGATAACTCGAGGGCATCAGAAGACGCCTGCGACCATTGCGCCCACTGGAGGCGCGAATACAACAGAGCATGAAGAGATGCTGAGGGCATCTTTGACCCTCTAAAAGACACAGAGAGAGAGGTCAATCTCCAAAAAAGGGAGATCGAATTACTGAAATGCGAGCTCAGAGAGGCACACGCACTGGCAGACCTCACTGCCAAACCCATTATGACAGGGGCCTCCCAGGTCAGGGGGAGGGGATACGGTTCCGGGCCTCATGAGGTGCGACCCCACATGGGGACTAGTGCATCAAGGGGTGGGGCACTGACTATCCCACCACCCCATGGGCAGGTGACCCTGTCCGGGTTGCATAAGGGCCTGCCCTCAGAAGGGCAAACCCATGTCGAGGGGAAGAGGGAGAGCGGTAGGCAACCGATGGCAGACCCTAAAATGGGGACCACTGCCAGAGGCGGCGGGCCGCTGAGTACCTCAGCACCCTATGGGCAAGCTACCCTGCAGGGAAGTGTCCACATGCTATATGAGACCGCCGAACTCAACGAGTTCAGCAAAGTCGAAGCTCCAGTCGACGTAACAATTGACCCCAACTTCCCCATGAGGAGAATAGCAGGGTCAGAAGCGGCGCACGACGCCGCATACGCTTGGTAGACAAGTGTGAGTGGGAAAGAATTCGTACACTGGTATGAACAGGCCGAAGCCACCTTCAAAAGTGGCAAGGTACACAGAACCCTTTGCAAAAAAGCGAAGGAAACCGAGAAATACTTCTTGGGACTCCCGAGTATTGCAAGACTCACAGAGGAGTATAATTCCCCAGACAACAAGGGAAAAATCTCCTGGGAAAGTCTAGGCAAAGCCGCCTATCTAAAGTCCCAGTTCAAACCACTCAGGACTCCTGAGGAATGTGCCACAAGAACTGCGGAACAGGAAGCGAAAGCCTCCAAATACCGGGAAAGAGACGCAAGTCTCCACGCTGGACAACCAGCCCAATGACCACCCTTCCCCATGGGAAGAACGGTAGACCTACCGTACTCCACACCTGAGCCAAGTAGCTCAGGAACACAACAACCTGCTCCCACCCAGGGAGCGCCCACTTCATCGAGCCCACAGCCCGACAATGTAGCCCAGGCTACGTCATCGCATCCGATGCAGCAATCGGATGTCCAGATGAACAACCCGGAGGAAAACCCTCCTCCGGGGCAATGACTTCACCCTTGAGAAAAGGGAAAGTGACACGGTAATACGCCATCTGTGAAAACACCTTCCCCCAACTCGAGGCCCCCACAATACTGTATGTGAGGAACCGCAAGTAACAATTGCGGAAATCTCTACTCCGTCAAAAGACCCACATCCACCACCACTCGTGTGTAAACACCACTTACACATGAACCCTCACCAAACAAGTGAGGAACACCAAAGACATACAACCTTTGGGTCGAAATTCATTTTCAACAAACTCCACTACTTTTCTCCCTGTGATACCCATGTATCGCTGTTCACTTCAAAGTGACGGCCCACACTCACTTATTCCTTAAACCCTTTCTCTCTCCTTCACCGACATGTACAAAAATCGCCCACTTTAAAGTGGCAACAACAAAACACTCATTGATAATTTCAAACTCAATGTAAATCAATTATTAAAACTTTGTTTTATTCACCATCAACCTTGTATGCATCGCAAATGCAATGCAAGGGGGGAGAATGTCAGGGCAATAGCCCCGAACCCCGAGCCACATGTAATTAGATACATATAGTCACGTGGGTAAGCGGGAACCTCCGGGTAACTGCTTACACACTACCGTAAAATACACACATTTGTATCACTTACAGCTCTGTGTGTTGAGCTACCCCCAGAGACCTCACAAGGGGTTAGTTGTTCACAGGTCAAATGACATGTGGTGGGATTGGCGGCTACTTGGCGCTCACGAGAGCATACTGGCGATGAAGGGAACAGGCTTGTATTGAATACTGGGCAAGCGATGTGAGTCGTAACAGAAGGTGTTCGCACATACCTGAGTTGAGTCACGTGCAAACTTGACGATCCATGGCTAGAGACATCAACCTCGGTAGGGATGACCCATATAGATGGTGACCGAGACATATACAACCTTACACAGACATTACAATGTTGGCACAAGGAGGTTTACAGTTGTTGCACAGAAGGTGGGAGTGTGTTATTTGTTAAGTTCCGTCTTTCTTGGCTGTAGCTGTACATGAACATGATGCTAACTATTGAATATGAATGATCGTGAGAAGTCTCGCGAAATGGAATAAATAATCCGGCCAGCACCAACACCCAATGAGGGAAAGCTTAGTGTGGAGTGAGTGTATAAGAAGGGGGAATGGGGAGAATGTAAGAAAGAGATGGGAGGATGTGGACAAGGAGGACCTGCTGTGGTTGATGTTCAGTTGACACAGTCGTGCAAGAGACTCCATTCCTATAACAATTTGTATTGTATAGGCCACAATTGGAGCTGTGGGATCATTGTCATCATTTGCAAGGATATATGGTTCTCGGCCAATTCTAATTTCCCCAACATGCAAGCATGAGGGTGCACATAGCCATGCCAAATTGATCGAAATTGTAATCGAAGCTTGCAGGAAGGACTTGAAGGGTGCTCTGTTGTCAGGGACAGCTCCGAAAGTGGTGAGGTCCCGGTGCGAGGGACCCGATGGGACAGATGTCGGCTATGCGTAGCGGCGGTCCCATTACGGGGTGAGCGTCCCCAACCACTTAGTCTGAAGTGGGAAGTTGAATTATCATTAAAAGGGGAAGCTACAGTACTTACCTGAAGTGGGAAGTTGAGAAGAAGGCTGCTTCTTCTGTTCCCACCCCAGGTGCTATTATATACATGCGGTTGGGGTCACGTGGGAGGAGCCACATCATCCCCGCACATAGCCGCACTCCCCTGGGTATCTCCGTGGGAGATCCCGGAGGTGTGCCGCTCTGTGAGCGGGAATGTGCGCAGCAGGCGCGGCGATCGGGGGAGCGGGGTTAGGTGTGTAGTAATACATAGAGAAGGGGAAGTTGACCATGGAACGGAAATAGAAAGAAAGAAGAAACAGGGAGTGATAGCAGGGGAGCGGAGTAGGGCGGCACGGCGCAGGGTCAGGTGGGGTGTGCCCTGACATCTGTACAGCATTGCATCTGATGGTGAATCACGTTGAGGTGCCACACTTGCCCAAATCACACTGAGGGAACCCCCCTCCCAAACCGTCTTGTTGGTAAACATGACATAACCTGTGATAAGGACTATAAGCATCTGTTCAAGAGCCTATGCTCACCCTTCGCCCAGCAGGCTTCAGCATTTTTGACACCATCATCACTCTGCAAATTCTCAAGAGACATCTTCATCAAAATGAAATGTCATTCACAACAAACTGGGCTTTGCTCAACCCAGCTGATAAGCAGGACATACCAAAGGCCATTGAACTACTGAAAGCCATCTGGGATCTTCCCTTAATTACCAACAATAAGGATCCAATCTGGACAGCCCAGCGCTACGCTCTCCACCTCTTTGGCCGGGTCTGTTTCTGGTTTGTGCAACTGTATATTGACATCACACTCAGTCTTCAGCAGCAACTTGGACATCTCAGTGCTGCTGCACAATTGCTCCTGATCCTCTTCCAGGAAAATCCAAATAAGGGACAATTCATGCCAACACAACTCTACATTGACATTCAGATTGCCATCAAGAATGTTTTTTTCTGCATAGCAAAAGAAAAAACTTACAATCGGGGGGGGGGGGGGATTTCTATATCATTCTCCTTGGAACAGATTGCCTTGAGATTTCATTCAGTATTCTACGCACAATGGTCAGGAATGATGCAAACACTGACACACTTCAGCTATCAACCCGATTATTGCATGTCACTGAAATTCAAAACATACTTGCTCACCATCCAGAATGGGACCGGAGCCCACAGCATTTGAGGTTACCATCCCTTCAAGAACTGGAAAAGGAATCACAGCATATTGACCATATCACACCTGGACTCTGGAAGGGGAGGTGAGCATCAAAGATGTCCTCCCCTTGACATGTTGGTTAAATGGGTGTTCATTCGCTGTGGCACTTGACAATAAAATCCCCCAACTAATCAATGACATCACTGCTCATGAAGGGATTGACATGCTCTCACCGTTTGGACAACTGATGGTGATCTTGAAAGGGAGGATGATGTCAGAGATGCAACAGCAATCTCGTTGTTGGGGTCAAATATGGATGCTCCAGAAATTGAAGCCGGTATGATCAGTGGGGCAGAAGACATGGTGATGAATCCTATAGGAGATGGACCTAATGCTGGGCTGGATTTGGAGGATATACTTGGGGCCATAACCAATGACTATAGGGTCCCTTTGCCCTATCTCTCAATCCATGATGAGAAAACTGGGGAAGAGAAGACAATTCACAAAGCACAGGCGTTGAAAGCCCTGTTCCAAAGTATTGTCCATCAAAAAGGATCCCTAGATCAACAGAAGCAAATTGCTGGACTCACCCAATTCTCAGTTACACCTACTGGTACAATAAGTGACATCGATGCCAACGACACTATCTTTGGTGACAGCATTTGCATTGGGGATCCAGCTGTGACTCTCATTAATGTCGAGAATATCCCATTCCTGGCTGTGGTTCAGATTTCGGCTTTGAAGATCGATGGGCAAGGAACACAAGCCATACCTTTGACAGTACTCTCTGAGCACGTTGTCAAAGTTAGTTTCCACATTCTCACATTGAAAGTGAGACAATCTGTGAGGGTGACAAGGATTGGCTATGGAAGGACTGGAAATTAGAAATTGAGTGCAGTAAGACCACAGGAGCTTACCTTCACCCTATTAATCCGACTATTTGGCAAGATGACATCAATGGATGTGCAACGTTTATATTTACAAAAACAGAACTGCAAGGGCTAGCAGCATCACTGTTTAGTATCCATGGACTCCAGGGATGCCCAACTTACCAAAGGTTAAGGTATTGCCCACATTTACATACAGAAATCCAGTTGGTAAGCCCAAAATGATTTGGCAACAAGTTGCAGATGCTAATATCAGTTGAAGACCACAGCATGTGTTTTGCTGGGGAATTCCCAGATGATGAACGGCCCTTACCTGACTGTCAGGGCAATAGCCCCAAACCCCAAGCCATATGTAATTACGAGGTACATATAGTCATGTGGGTAGCGGTAACTTCCGTTAACTGCTTACACACACCGTAAAATACACACCTTCATATCACTTACAGCTCTGTTGCTGAGCTACCCCACTGAGACCTCACTTAAGTGTATGAGGTGTGTTTTACAACACAACCCACCAAACTATCAAATTGTAACAACTTGACTCAGTAGCGCCGATGGTGCCTAAACATGCCTGCAAGGGCAAGGTCACTTCTGCAGCGATGATAAAGAAAAATGAGCAGTTTATAAAGAAACCACAATCTCCTATCATGGGAGATTCAAATCAACAGCCATCGTCAGACGACGATGAGGATCAACAAAATCCAGAGAGAACAACCACCTCAGGGCTGGTCCCTGAAGGTTTTAAAAACTTACGTGGAGTAAGTGCGGGGCCCAATACCCCTAGAACTCCATGTCACATCAATCTCACCCAAGCTGGGGAAGATCTCTCGCCTCCTCAGGAGGTGATCAACTTGCGCGATAAACACATAAGCGCCAAACAATCAGCCTGAAACGCTGATTGGATAGAGTCACAGGAAACTCCAGGGCCCCACTGTCCCCTGGAGTCCTCCCCCATTTCCCCAAGTCAAGCCCCAAAGGCAGACAAAGGGAAGAACCTCCACATCGGCTATCTGAAAAACTACTGGACTTGTTCCAGGTTCCGTCTGAATGGAGGACAGAATCAACTTCTTCTCAGGCTAAAGGCTTGAGAAGGCACAAAGAAACGCCCTGAGAGCAGGATCTCTCAGAGTGCGGAAGCTCCAAAAGAACTTCCGCTGTTTACACTACCCCATGCCATGCCAGACAAGGCAAGGTCACTGTCAAAGTCGGAATTACTGTCGGGGTCAGAATACTGTCAGAGTCGGGCAGACTGTCAGAAGACGGACTGAAGATGGATGGGGTTTCTGTCTGAGTCGGGGTCAGAGGTATTGGCAGAAGTCTGTTGGAGCACTGAAGGAGCGGAGCTGGATCACCTTATGTAACCAGTTTCCTACGTCCAATAACGATATTAGAATTTGTGCTGATTTGCGTACTGACCGTGTTTTGGTTGCCAAATATATAATTGTTCACTGTCTAAACAACAATAAACACCCCCCAACGATCTCACCTGACATATAGATCGTCTATGGATAAAATTCTATATTGACTTTACTATGATTTCTAGTCAATATTACACCTAGATATACCACTTTTCAGTAGGACATGATTTTCCTGATAATTTACTGAAGGAAAACTACTAATAAAATAATTCTGCAATAAATGTTACTCAATACAGGAGTGACCAAACTGCTCTTTCTATCGCTTAGAGTGCGTGCTAGTTATCTAGCAGGTTCAGGATCACTCACTTTTCTCCTGTGGTGTGATAACCAAATATTACTGAGAGATTATTCAATTAAGAAGTCCCTCCACCAAATTCTCACTAATTCTCACTATGACACTTTTGTTCAGCTGTGTCTAACTGACCCTAACTCATGCTTAGAGTGACGTGTTAGTTTTATATTAGCTAACAACTAATATTTGCTTTTATCTTTTGGAGCAAATGAACCAACCACTGGTGAGGAGAATTAAACTTTTATTTCTACCTGAGGTTTGAGAGGGGGCAGAAGCGGCGGCCTTTTATGCTTTTCAGAGGCCTCTCTACTCCCACGCCTCGCACTAGTTACATGTGCTACATTTGTATTATAGATAGTTCTAGAATGATATAGGGGCTTGGGCTGTGTAAGCTTAATAATGGACTTAGGACATGACTCAGCAATAAGTAATTCATTTCTTTGTCTTTTGGGCCGATCTTAGCGGTATCTTGTAGCGCTGAAGCTATGCTCTACACCGCCTTAATTACGAACGGTTATCTTTAGAAATGACTCAGCTATAAAGGAACTTTCTAGACTGTTCTCTAATTGACCCCTTTTTGTGAAGCTGCATCATTACTAATGTTCTAGAGCCTTCCCAATTAATTAACTGATCCGCGGACTTCTGAATCACTTCATGCTTATGATCCGAGATCCAGATCATCAATCATTCCTTTGTTCCGATTTATTTGAGCTTAAAATCAAAAAGTTTTGATGAATCATGGGAAAATATACAAGATCCGGTTTTTTAGCATTTTCTCCTCTTCTGATGCGATCAAAAACTGTCCGCCTGCGCCGGGGAATACTCTGTCATATGGTATTCGGTCCGCCAGACTTCTGGGTGCCAATATATTTCCCTTGAGTCACATTACTTTTTGTAAGAATTAGCAAATAAATATATATGAATTATAAGGTGTTTCGCCGTTTGAGCAATATCTCCGTCATTTTTGAAGCTTTTAGAATGAAACAAAACCGTGGATAAAGTTAAGAAACAGTTCTTTCAGATGGTAAAAAGATTACAGTCAAAAGTTTACTGGTTCCCGAGATATTCACATTTCTTTCCCAATGTTCCTTCTTATTCTGCTGTCTATGTGCTATTTTCTTGTTGTAGGGATATATTCTTTGAATATTACACCTATGCCAGGTTCTAGGCATGCTTGTAGTAGATTAAATCTCATGCTACATGGGTGTAGATAATTTATAATGATCTTCTAATGTCTGTCCAGTCTCATAAAGATCATGAGATCTGTTAAACGTCTGAACTTGTCACCTGTTTGTTGACTATTCTGATAGATCATTGTTTTATTCTTTGAATATTATTTCTCCTACACCGGTTCAACCTCTGGGCCATTCGGAAGTATGAGAGGTTTTTGTGGTCCGTGAAGATGGCAAACTTCTCTGGGGCCCCTTCTAGGAAGTGGTGCCATTCCTCAAGTGCTCGTATTATGGCGAGCATCTCCTTGTCATAGATCTTGTAGTTCCTTTCTACCTCCAAGAAGCTCTTAGACATGAAGGCCACTGGGTGGTAGTCTCCATCCAACTGAAGCTGTGAGAGGACTGCCCCCATCGCAAAGTTGGAGGCGTCACACTCTAGGCGGAATGGGGCAGTGTTGGAGGGGAAGGTGAGCACCGGGGCCGACGTGACTGCTTGCTTCAAGTCCTCAAAGGCAGTCTGTTCTACTAGGCCCCAGGCCCAAGGCTGGGTCTTCCAGGTGAGTCGGTGAAGGGGCTTTGCCTTTTCTGAGAAGTCCTGGATAAAGTGGCGGTAGAAGTTGACGAAGCCTAAGAAGGATTGAACCTCCTTGACCTTCATGGGGACCAGCCAGTCAGTTACTCCCTTCACCTTCACTGGGTCCATCGCAATGTGACCTTCAGAGATGACAAGGCCCAGGTAGTCGATGGTGTTCTTCTCGAACCTGCACTTCTCAGGCTTGAGGAAGAGCTTCCGCCTCCTCAGGGTGGCCAGAACCTCTTGCACGGCCTTCCGGTGCTCTTCAAGAGTGGGGGAGAAGACTAGGATGTCATCCATGTAGCAGATGACATCCCCTCGGTCGATGAACTCCTGCAGGATGTCATTCATCATTGTCTGGAAGGTGGCAGGGGAGTTGCAGAGGCCGAAGAACATCACTGTAGGCTCAAACAGCCCTCGGTTGGTGGCAAAGGCTGCCTTCCACTCATCCCCCTCCTTGATCCGGACATTGTTAAACCCCCCATCATAGGTCTAGGGTTGAGAACCACTTAGTGCCCCGGAGGCAGGTGAGGACATCGGATATCAGGGGGAGTGGGTAGGAGTTTTTAACCATGACCTCGTTCAGCTTGCGGTAGTCTTGGACTAACCTCAGGGACCCATCCTTTTTCTTCACAAAGAACACAGGGGCCCCTGTTGGGGACTTAGATGGTCTGATCCGCCCGTTTGCGAGGTTCTCCCTGAGGAAGGCATCCAGCTCTTTCTGCTCCGCTGGTGAGAGTGGGAACGTTGTAACGGGTCTATCCAACTAGACTCGCAACAGGAAGGAGGGGGGATAGAAATCTCACTGAGGTCAGGTAAGAGGTGGGGTATATTGGTCCTCTAGAGTGTGGTGCTAATACTCTCTAGCTACTGTACAGCGGGTCACAGAAGAGTCCGATAGATAAGTAAGGAAAGAGTATCACATGACAATAAGAAAACGGAAACATCTGGCTCTAGACACCAGAAATGAAATCAGAAAAATTAGGAAAAATAGGAAATATGTGTAAGGAGTGTGAGTGGACATGGGTTACATGTGATGGATTTGAGGTGCTTGCTGAGGGTAGTAGAATTGCGGGATTTGGCTCGTTTAGGGTGCACCGGCAAATCCCCGTTACATACAGGCCTAGCTCTCAATCGTGGTCCCTCACGATATCCCAAATGAAACCAGCGGCATCATCCCCAATCCACAACTCCTGAGGGTTTGGAAGAATAGATCATGAATGTTGCATAAATAAATAACTCGATGTGATGCGTGATTGGGACTGCCAAATTTGCATCAACCCGGCAACATCAGGGAGGCTTCTTCCTCCGCACTCTAGGCTCGTATTCGCTAATGCAAGGCATGTATCCATCCTCAAGGCAATGCTCAGCCTCGTCTCCATTTCGCAACACAACGCAAATTGTCCTCGGAAGTGATGTCTTTGACTTCTTAACGGATTCCTGATAGCCATACACCTGAGCGGTCTGACTATGGTGCTGACTAGCAGAACCTTCTGGACACTTGGCTCGCACAAAATCGACTGAGGAACATGTCGCACGTTCAGTAAACCAACCCCATGAGACTGCGCTGGGGTAAGGGTCGCGGGATTTCGACTCAATGAGCACATTCTTCTGGCATCTCCGGCTGTCTAGACTATCATCCTGTGCACACGGAGCTCTTCTCTGACATCTGGGATTACTCTCTCTGCCGAGAACATCTGACTGAGCAATGCGTTCTCGAACATCAAACTTGTTACAAGTCTTCGACCCTGAACATGGCTTTGACATTGCACAGCTCACATGCGGACTTTGGCATTGGACAGGAGGCCTAAGCTCTTTATGCATGGCCTCTCGGCTCGATGATGATGTCTCCAGGTGACTGGGTACTTGGCTTCCACACTCACTCATGGTGCTGGCAGTTGGCTCCATTTCGCCTTTGAATCCCGACATGAGACTCAGATCAGGGACACCTCGGCACTCTAGACTCTCTATGATCCCTTCTGTCGTCGTTGCGGCTTCACTCTGGTGATCAAGAAGTCCTGGAACATGGGAGATCACGTTCATCTCACCCTCGAGCCAGCAATCGGCATCAATCTTTATCATTCTGCCATGAACTTGTGCGCATCTCTGTACCGTTGTGGCCATTACATCTGGGAGAACTACAGGTCGAACGAGAGGTTTAGGCACAATGGTAAGCCTCATTTTCACTCCCATCACTGACTTGTATGGGCCATTGCTGATTTCGCTTGCTTCGGCCCAAGACTCCGTATTCGACATGCAATTGACCCCACGCTTGGGCCCAGACTCGCAGTCCAAGACCAGTACTCGCCTGGCCCCATCAGCTCCCTCAAGCACAAAGGTGTCACCATGGGACTCAACACCTCACGAACGTTCGGCCTCTGGAGTCTCCTCAGACTCTTGTTCTTGGGCTAGGCCATCGCCCGGACACTCATTCACATTTGATACCTTGTTGGGGTCTTTCTCGGGTCAGCATTCATAGCCATCGCCAGGGAAATATGGGGCTTTCACGTGCTTGGGTGCTCCGATACCAGGACTAACATTAACGGCAGTCTCGAAGGTAGGCCTTTTCACTGCATCGATTCTGCCATGTATGATAGCGTGTTTGCCAATCAAATCACAATCCCGTTCTTCATGATTTGACTTGCACATAAGAATGACTTCAGGGGGATCAATCAACCCAATGCCCTTGGGTACTGCATCAAAGCCGATGTCGGATTCGCATCCAGAATCCCGTGTGTAGTCATCCACTGAGTCGGAATTTCCGAACACACTGCTGAAGCTGAGAGGCCATAGCTCTTTATCCTTGAGCTCAGCCCCATCTTGTGCTAGGCTAGGCTCGCCTCTGAACTGGACCTCAGACTCTACGTCTTGCGCAGCTTCAAAGAGAACCACAAGGTTACCCTGGACGACGTAGATGCCCTCTACTGTCTTGAGCATGGAAACCTCGTGGCGGAACTCGGTACACAACGTAGAACAATAACGATTGAGCTCGTCATTGAGGCCGGGAGGCTTTAGCTCTTTATGTTTATGCTCACTGTGCTCTTGCACTGAGTCCAGGGCCTGTGCTATTTCCGACTTCCTGCTGCATTCAGACTCGCGTTTGGCTTCGAACAGGGCAATCTCATCGCCGCAAATGATGTAGGTGCCTTCCGGCATATTGAGCGCGAGGATGTCACTGTGGGGCTTGACATTTCGTATACTTTCGGCCTCTGGAGTCACCTTAGACTCATATCTGCGGGCTAGGCCATCGCCTGAATACTTGATCACGTTGATACCCTTATCAGGGTCTTTTGTGGGCAGTTCTCCATAACCATCTTCGAACTCGGGGGTGATAGGAAGCGGCTTCACGTACTCAGGCGCTTCACCATGATTGGGATTGGATTCGTGTCCTACAACCTTATCTGGATCCTTCTTGGGCAGATCCTCATACCCTTCACCGGACTCATGCATCGAAAACTTAACTCGCTTAGCCACTTCACTGTTGTCGAACTCATACTTGGGGAACCAACAGGGAATGCCACTTGATTTCTGAATTCTCGCCTGAGTCGCCTCCGGACTAGTGTCTTCACATCTGCCTTCGCTGGGCTCAACAGGGGACTTGGCACTGCTGCTGCACTCTTCAGTCTCGGTCACACCATCTAATTTGGAGATTTGTACAGGCTGTGAGTCGATCAGGTCAAACTTGCAGTAGTATCCGATTGCCTCCGTTGACTGAGGCGCTGTTAGAACGTGCAGATTCAGACGACTCCGGAGTGGAATCGGAGACTTAGCATGGAAGGACCTTGGCCTCAGCGACTCAGGCGGAGCGCTGTGCCATTGCTGGTTGTCCTAGGGGTCCCTAATTTTAGATCTAGCAGAGGGAAAGTCTCTTGGGGGAATTCATGTCGATTTCGGACTGAGGTTACAAGTTACTAGGTAAATTGTATATAAGGAGGGGTCCGGAATCAAAAGGAACAAGGGTAGGACAAAAGGAGACAAAGGGAGATGGAAAGGGGAACAACACTGAGGGTCAAGGGTATGACTCAATGGTGTTTCTCAAAGGAGGAATGAAGGGCCAAGGCCCAAGGAGGAAGGAAGGAGGATGGGAGTCGGGAATGGCTAGCTGACTGAATAGAAGGAAGCAGCAGCCCAAATAGGAATGAGGGAGAATAGCGGAATTGAAATGGACAATGCAATAGTTGCAAGGTCCGGAGTAAGTCCGGAAAGTCCGAACTCAGAAGTTAAACTCTGGAATATTGGCAAACGTAATTAAATGGAATGAGCTAACCAATACAATGGGTATAAGCAGAGGTGGGGTCAAAGTCCAAGGTCGGAGCTAAGACTGGAGGTTCCGGAGACAGAGACGCCAACAGGATTCCGGAGCGGAGGTCCGGAGTTGGGAGCATAGGTGTTGCGTACTCGTCTGGAAGGTGTCGAGGTTGGGGTCGGACCCGGAATGTTCCGGAGTCGGACCGAAGGTGGTGTTGGAGCCAGAGGTGGGATAACCTCTTGGGAGTCGGCAAGGAGAAGGTGATGGAAGGGAAGTAGGGCTCCGGAGTTCGTTTCGGGGTTCCGGGAGCCCGGAGCGGAGGTCGGGATTGTATGGATATGACAGGCGCCTCGACTTCATCTCAGCAAACAAGGTCGATTGCTGCATGTTCTGAGGTCTGGTATACTGCGAAAATGTCGGATTTCGAGACACGTTCAAGGTTGCCAGGCCTTAGCTCTCGATCATTGTGCTCTGGCACAGTGTGTAAGAAATCCAGTGGTCGAGGTGCCTTGGGTGTTGTTGGATCGCCTGTCTGGGGTGGGTCCATGGTCTCAATATCGTCAAAGCTCGAGTCCACATCTGAAGTGTCAGGGGAAGTTTCATGGGAGATCTCTTCGTCAAACCATGCGAACGAGTCGAAGACATTGAAAGCCGTTTTGCAAGGGGCCTCATTGTCAAGATATGACTTCAGGCTGAAGACATCGTAGATCGATCCACACGAGTCTTCATACTGGATACACAGGTCCGGGTCCGCAACGTTGGTGCGCTTTTCATGAGTCTTCTCATTGTCATAGTACAAATGCGAATTGAGGACATTGCGGATGGTTTCACAGGCTTTCCCGTCGTCGCTGGGTAGTATCAGACAGTCTACTGGAACCTCGATACTATGTAGCAGATCTGTGCCTTTAGACTTCGCAATGTATGATTCCCAGTCTGAATCATAGTCACAATCCGGTTCACAAGGAGTATCACCATCGAAATATGAGTCCAGGTCAAAGCTCTCATAAACCGTCTCATGGGGATTATCATCATCGCGGCGTGAATCCAAACTGGGGCTAGGAACATCATGGATTGTTTTGCAAGAGTTCTCGGGACGCGGGTCGAAATCGAGGACATCGTTGACTATTTCACTGTCGGCTAGATTGGATTTGTAGTATGCAATTGCCTCCATTGACTGAGGCTTCCCGGCTTTGTCTGAACACACTAAGTGGATTGTAGTCGGCTGTAAGGTCTGGCAGACTTGGCCTTCTTCAAGAACAGCGGATTCTGAGACATGTTCAAGGCCGCTAGGCCTTAGCTCTTGATCATTGAGCTCTAGCACGTTGGGGTAACTTGCGCTATCATAGGCACTCGCCTCTAGGTTTGTTGCATCATCAGACTTCGGCTCAGGCATGTAATCTTCGGATACAGCAATTGACTTGATTTCGTAGGCGCTCCGCGCTTCACGGGCTTCAGGCTGGTACTGGCCCATCTGGTCTAGTGTTGAGCTGCTGGCACTTGTCTCGGCATCGAACTTGGGCGCGAAATCATTCTGGACTGTGGAGCGCATTGAAAGTTTTGGTGAATCGACATATACACTGGTCTGTGCATCGGACATTGATGAATAGGAACTGGCTCTTTCGCGATCATGGGCATCTTGTAGCAGGGCCCTTGCCACTGCGACAACCTCATGCATACTGGGGGGCTGAGTCAAATCAAGCCACAGACTTTGAACTTGCAGATCGAACTTGAGCTTGTGCCTAAACTTCAACGGAAATCCACGGAAAAACAAATCATCGTGCTCAACAACGGCGAGGGCACCCTGTGCCTCTAAGGACTTGGAAATGGCTTCAAACTTGCACAGATATCGGTCAAGGTGATCAAAGGTCTTCATCTTGCGACCTTTTTCTACGAACTTGCAGAGATCCTTGAGGCAAAATAAGGGTTCTTTGTCAATGCCATAAAAGTCCAGCAGGTCTTTCTTGAGCGACACCCAATCTGGGTTCTCGAATCCGTCCAGCATGGAAATGAACCTCACTTCCTTGTCAGTGCAGTAAGCGGTCAGAAATTCGCATTTCTGAGCTTCCGTGAAAAGTGCCGCATCAGCCAGTGACTCATATTTGCTAAGGAACTCGACGATCCGCCTGCCTCTGAATCGGGGTGTGTCTGGGCTACGGGGCATCGGCATGGATGTGTAAAATATCGGCACTGCAACAGCGGAACTTGCAGCCATCTTGAAAGGTCAAAAGAAAGGTAAAACTTGAAAATGATCGTGTGGGTCACTCGGGACCTGTTCTGGTGATACTTGGATGATTCTCTATGCCGCTTGTCGTCCAGCAAGGAGAGGAATCGTAAAATGAGGGTCAAATGGAGGTAAACGGGGTAACACGTTGCCAAAACACGTTGCAAAACTTGGTAATCAGAGGAACTAATGCCAGCTCCTGTGCCCTCTTCGTGAGATCCACCAGGAGTTAACCACTTGAGCAATAAACCCGACCCCCTGTGCCTCGTCGTGAGATCCGCCAGGAGGGACAATCGCGATAAACTTGCTTAAGGGCAGCACGTCGCTAAAACTTGATAACAAACACGGACTCCTGTGTCTCTTCGTGAGATCCACCAGGAGTGAACAACTTTAACAATAACACGATCCCCTGTGCCTCGTCTTGAGGTCCGCCAGGAGAAACAAATGTGAAACTTGCAAAGTCTTGCAGGTGTGGGTGGAATGTGTGGATCCGTAGACTTGTAGATCCTTTCTTGTACTTCTTCCTCTTCTTAGGGTAACAAACGGTGTAGATAGTCGATATCCAAATAAAACGAGGGTGTTTCCAAACAAATGAAGGACGTGAACTTGCATGATTGAAAACCTGACAAAGTGGATTATCCCCCCTGTAAGGACCACCAGATTTGTAACGGGTCTATCCAACTAGACTCGCAACAGGAAGGAGGGGGGATAGAAATCTCACTGAGGTCAGGTAAGAGGTGGGGTATATTGGTCCTCTAGAGTGTGGTGCTAATACTCTCTAGCTACTGTACAGCGGGTCACGGAAGAGTCCGATAGATAAGTAAGGAAAGAGTATCACATGACAATAAGAAAACGGAAACATCTGGCTCTAGACACCGGAAATGAAATCAGAAAAATTAGGAAAAATAGGAAATATGTGTAAGGAGTGTGAGTGGACATGGGTTACATGTGATGGATGTGAGGTGCTTGCTGAGGGTAGTAGAATCACGGGATTTGGCTCGTTTAGGGTGCACCGGCAAATCCCTGTTACAATGTCCTCCCTCAGGGGAGCTTGGCATCTGGGGTGAGGTCGATGGCATGGTCCCAAGGCTTCCAGGGGGGAGTTCGTTGAAGGCTTCCTTGGAGAATATGTCCTGGAAGTCTCGGTAGTGCTCTGGCACCAGTTCCTCGAAGGGGTGTTCTACCAGGGGGCCTTCCTGTGCATCCTGGGCCATTTGCTGAGAGGGGGTGGATGTGGCTCAGAGCTCATGGCCTCACTCTGGTGGGATCATGGCCACATAGACTCCATCTCCGGATTCGAGGGCGAAGTCGGGTTCCCCCTGGGTTCCCGGCTTCAGCACTGGGTTCCAGCCATAGCAGGCTGGTGGACACCGGGACAGGGTGACCCTCTGCTTGACCCAGTCTACTTCTGGGTTGTGGTGGAGGAGCCATGAACGGCCAATTATCACTGTCTGGCAGCCCAGGTTAGCAACTGCAAACCGGGCCTGCTCCGTGTGTCGGCCGAATCGGAGGAGCACTTCTACCTCCTCTGTGATGGATCCATTCTCATTCAGGGTTCCGTCCACGTTATGGATGGGGACTGGTTGCACTAGAGGCGAAGTCTCTAGGTTGTGCTTCTGGACGAAGTCGCATCCGATAAACATTCCAGTGGCCCCTGAGTCCAGTAGAGCAGAGGTGGTGACTGAGCAGAGTGAAGTGGTGGACATCAGTTCCACTGAGAGGTTGAGCGAGTGGGGGGAGTGCTTAGACAGGACATAAATTGCAGGGGCTGGGACGGCAACCTTGCACGGGGGTTCACCCCCTTCTGGCTTTCTTGGTGTGGCTTTTCTCTTTTTTGCAATTACCCGGAGCAGCTTAGATTGCATGGCCCGTCTGGGGCGGCTGCGGTATTTACAGGTGGGTACATTGCTCTCATCAGGCAACCGGGGCACACTCTTCACCGGTCGCCCTCTAGAAAATCCCCTGTTGGATCTTCTTCTG